ATGTTCATGTTCATGTTCATGTTCATGTTCATGTTCATGTTCATGTTCATGTTCATGTTCATGTTCATGTTCATGTTCATGTTCATGTTCATGTTCATGTTCTTGTTCTTGTTCTTGTTCTTGTTCTTGTTCTTGTTCTTGTTCATGTTCATGTTCATGTTCATGTTCATGTTCATGTTCATGTTCTTGTTCTTCGTTTTCTTGTTCTTCGTTTTCTTTTTCTTCGTTTTCTTTTTCTTCGTTTTCTTTTTCTTTTTCTTTTTTTTCTTTTTCTTTTTCTTTTTCTTCTTTTTCTTTTTGTTCTTGGCTATCTTAGGGGCTTCTCCCGGGAAAAATGTTTTCAATTAAGTCTCTACATCAAAAGTAAGACTATGCTTCCAGATATGAAAGCTCTAAAAGTCTTAACGTTTGGGAAGATTTTCCAAAAAACCGAATCAAATACCGACGACATCTCCCGTCTCCGATATTTTATCGGTGAAAATTTCTCCCTCGGTATTTCTCGGAATTACCAGATGCTTTCCCGCCACACTCGCGATTGTTCGAGTATCTTTCATCTCGGGTGCACACGCGTAGTAGTAGCCTGTTCCGGCATGACTCATGTAGCAAGCGGGCTGAAGAGCTTGTTTGCCAGGAGAGCTCTGTGTGCCAACTAGCGACGGCCCTTTGTTGTGCGACCCTCGCTCAGCTTCGCCTAACATTTTAGTGCGAGTTTTTGAAGTGAATTGTGTGCCGACGCAGCAGGGGAAGACTGGTATTGAAATTAGCGTGGGTATGTGTACACAGTGCTAAACAACGCAGGTGCGAGAACGCGCGGTTCCTGTGCGGTGGCCCGAGGCAAAGGGGCTGGCCCGGATACATACAAATCTGCCCTTTTATACGCGCAGAGCAAACGCAACTTTGATTTCGAACAACAGCGTTCACCATACGCGTCAGAATCGCTACTGCTGAGATTTCAATGATAAAATCGTATTATATTTTACAGGAGCCGGTGAATATGACGCTATACGACCACTGGCGTACGCAAACGCAGATGTGTTCGTACTCTGCTTTGAAATCAGTCAGCCAGATTCACTTCAGAACGCAGTGAGCAAAGTAAGTGAGATGTGCACACACACTTATTCAAACTGATGTAATACGTTTGTGTGCCGCCGCGCACGCACGCACGCACACACACACGCGCGCGCGTACGCACACACACACACGCACGCACGCACGCACACACTACACACACACACACACACACACACACACACACACACACCACACCACACACACACACACACATATATAATTAGTACTATATATCATATATAATCATATATATACATAATGAATACATGATAGTTGGAGGTGAATAGTCTAGAAATTCTGTACTCGTCTATAGGACTATCACACTACAGGTTTGGGCCGCGAGTTCGATTCAGGCAGAAGAAATGGGCATTAACCTGCATCGTGTTGTGTGTTTTAGTGGCATCCGGATTGTGGCCGTTGTGCGCGGGAACAGTGTCACTGATCGGATCAAGAGCGACCTCGAAACGACATTAAAACATTATCTGCAGTTAGCAAGAAAGAAAGATCACTGGTCAGCTACGAGCAGGTTGTGGACACGAGCACTTTACTATGATCAGATGTGAATACACAACTTCTTCTTGTGCGCTCGACGAACACCACACACACACACACACACATCACACACTCACCACAGCACACACACGCACACACACACACACACGCACGGCAACGCACGCACGCACGCACGCACACAGCACACACACAACAACACAC